CCTTCCATTTCTTATGTGATTTAAGTTAACCAGATGTGTGATGGATTTAAATCCTGTGTTGTGTTGGAGATGCTGTACTTAATGGTTACTACAACAGTTTGTATAAAATGTACTTCATAGTGATGTGTTTCCTTCTTGTCCATAACTTATCATGGAGACATCTCTGTAGATAGAAATGAGACAAAATGTTTCTAAAAGCCATCTGGAATGTCCTGAACTCAAGAGAATTAATTTGTTTATTTAGGATTAGTTGATTTCTTTCTCTTTAATCTCCATGTGCTATCTTGATATGTGAAGTAAATATTTATGACATTTGCTTTTTATAATCCTAAACAATAGTTATATCCAGTTCTCAGGAATCATTTTCTCAGTTCATCCTTCCCATTTTTAGGGCAATGTGAGATATCTAGAAAAATTAAATTTGACACAAAAGTATTTACATGTGTTTTCAACTTGACAGAAATCCCTTGAGTAATTTTTTAATTTACAGAATTTTTGTCTGATACCTTATTTTTATGTTAATACAAAGAGGACAGATTCTGTGTAGTTCATAGATACAGTGCTAAAAATATGATAGTCCCTTCCAGCATAAAATTCAGATGATCTACTCTAAGTTTCATGTACATAAAGTTTTTAGTACTTTTCTACCATAAAATCAGAATAGAACAGATATTGCACCTGCTTCATTCTTGCAATGGCTGTTACTTACCAAAGTAATTAAGGGTAGGAAAATTTTTGTTTGCCAATGGCCAGTTGGATATTTATAGCAACATTTGTGAGCCATACAAAATTATCATTTAAAATTATCCTTTATATATTTATTGAATTTGGAGTCCTGTTTGTGGTTGCCTTAGCAAGGCTAGACCAAATCACTTTGCAGGCCTTATGCCATCCATGGGTGGGATGTTCTCCACATGAACTGACTTTAAAGACTGTTTATCCCATCAAAGATGCATTTCCATATTAATGTTTATTACATTTTGCCATAATCACTTATTAACATTTTAATATTAATACAAGTCCAGAGTATTTTTAACCCTTAGAAAATAACAAAAATAAGTTTCAATTACAAATAAACATGAAAGACAATCAATTTAGTATATATTAAGTAAAGATTTCAACAATTTGCACCCACACAGAAACAAAAAGTGTGAAGTACTGTTTCGGTACTAGTTATAGCATTAATTCACATTGTACAACACATTAAGGACAGAGATCCTACATGAGGAGTAAGTACACAGTGACTCCTGTTGTTGACTTAACAATTGACACTCTTGTTTATGGCGTCAGTTATCACCCAAGGCTCTTGTCATGAGCTGCCAAGGTTAAGGAAGCCTTTTGAGTTTGCCAACTCTGCTCTTATTTAGACAAGGTCATAGTCAAAGTGGAAGTTCTCTCCTCCCTTCAGAGAAAGGTGCCTCCTTCTTTGATGGCCTGTTCTTTCCACTGGAATCAAACTCTCAGAGATCTTTCATTTAGGTCTTTTTTTTTTTTTTTATTTCCACAGTGTCTTGTCTTTCCATTCCTGAAATACTCTCATGGGCTCTTCAGCCAGACCCGAATGCCTTAAGGGCTGATTCTGAGACCAGAGTGCTGTTTAGGACATCTGCCATTCTATGAGTCTGCTCTGTATCCTGCTTCCCCTGTTGGATCATTCTTTCCTTTTTAATTCTATCAGTATTAGCAGACACTAGTCTTGTTTATGTGATCCCTTTGACTCTTAATCCTATCAGTATGATCAATTGTGATCTGAAACTGATCACTTGGACTAGTGAGATGGCATTGCAACAAGCCACCTTGATGGGATTGAATTGGAATCCCCTGGCACATTTCTAACTCTACCATTTTGGGCAAGTCCGATTGAGCATGTCCCAAATTGTACATCTCCTCCCTCTTATTCCCACTCTTATATTTAACAGGGATCACTTATCAGTTAAATTTAAACACCTAAGAATAATTGTGTGTTAATTAAATAGTTCCACCAATAGTGTTAAGTAGGACAAAAAATATGAAAAGGGATAAAGTATTAAGTTGTTCATCAACAGTCAGGACAAGAGCTGATCAAGTCACTGTTTCTCATAGTGTCCATTTCACTTCAACAGGTTTCCTTTTTGGTGCTTGGTTAGTTGTCACTGATCAGGGAGAACATATGATGTTTGTTTATCCGAAGAATGTCCCAACAAACTGGATCTGACCTTTCTGTAGAACAGAGCTTTCAGCATGGCCAGAACTGCAAGACAGGAGGCTCCGGAGAATCCCAGGGGAGTTAGGAGTAGCAGGGAACCCTGAATGCTGGTCAGCTTCTGGAGGAGTCAGTGATGTCTCAGGAACCAATATCTGCTCATGGATGTTCTAAGCAAGGATCTCGGTCTACAAAGAGGGGATTTGTTGGTTCCCTTGACGTACCCCTCAACCAGCAGAGACGGCATGCTTGGTGCTCTACAGAGGTAGGGGCTGGCTAGGATGGAGGAAAGACTGGAAGTAGATATCAAAAGACTGGCATTTTAAATCAACAGGAGTCACTGTGCACTTGCTCCTCATGTAGGACCTCTGTCCTTAATATGTTGTACTATGAAAATTAATGGAACAACTAGTCTTCAAACAGTACTTTATACTTTGTGTGTCTGTGTGGGTGCACACTGTTGAAATCTTTGCCTAGTATAGAGTTGATCTTCTGTATATAAAGATAATTAAAAATGAATCTTAATTTCTCTCTATCTCTCACTGTCTATAACTGTCAAATAAAAAAATGAATCTTAATGAAGAATGGGGTGGGAGAGGGAGTAGGATATGGGATGGTTTGCGGGTGGGAAGTTGGTTATGAGGGGAAGAACCACTGTAATCCAAAAGTTGTACTTTTGAAATTTATATTTATTAAATAAAAGTTTTCTATAAAACAAAAACAAAAAAAACAAATAAACATGATAGAATCATTAATAAAATATTGTAATCGATAAAGTTATAAGGGTTAAATTCTGTGTGAAGGTAGAATGGAAACAAATATTCAAGGAAGAAAATGTAAAACCTAAGGCTCTGTAATTGGAGCTTGCTCATATAATTTTTAATGGAAAACAGTCGGTATTGAATTATGATGCTAACTAGATTATACCAGTGATATTTAAAGAGGTATATAACATCTTTAAAATAGGTTTATAATAGTATTAGCACAGTGTTTAAATTGCTGTTTGGGATGCCCATATCCTGTATCAGGTGTCTGATTTGAGTCCTGGCTTCTCTGCTTCCGATACGGCTTCCTGCTACTGAGCATCCTAGGAAGCAGGAGATTATGGCTCAAGTTCTTGGGCCCCTGCCACCCCTAGGGGAACCTCAGAGAGTTCTGTGCTGTTGGCTTCAGCCTGGACCAGCTCTGGTTGTTACGAGCCTTTGGGGGAGAGAACCAGTGGATGGAATACATCTTCTCTGTTTCTGTCATCTTTCTGCCTTTCATGTAAAATAAAAATAAGTATCTTACAAGTGTAAAATATATATTTATAATACACTGTAAGTGACTGTGGGAAGACCATTCTCCATAAGTCTTTCATAGATCGACATGTCTATACATCATCATCAGTGTGCTCCAAGAAGATCATTTCAGGAATATTCATGTAAATGATATCCTTGGAGAGACGGAGGCAAGTGACTACCACTGGAGGATGTTTGCTTGCATCCTAGCATTGAAGGCGGAGACATCTCCTTCCTTCCCCAGAGAGAGTTGCTCATATTGCAGGGTCATAGGGATATTGCCTCTCTCCAAAGGAGAGAATGGGCGGATTTTCCAGTAGTCTCTGTAAAAGAACAGACTCCATCGATCTCAGAGTTTCTCTCCTGGGCTGTAGCTCCACTGTGTATGCAGGCAAAAATCTTAGTGCCTACTGTCTGCCAGGCACCCAGATACATTTGTTATAAGAATAAATAGAAAAATAAATGATTGAATTAATGAATAATGACTTTTCTGTTCAGTTTTCCTTCCAAACTGTGGATTGGATAGCATGCTAAATATATTGATTATATCTAAGGTAAAGAGGAAATTTATGGGTGTACTTTGCTTTATTTATTCATTTCTTTTTTTAACTTTTATTTAATAAATTTAAATTTCCAAAATACAGCTTTTGGATTACAGTGACTTTTTCCCCCCATAACCTCCCACCCAACTGCAACCATCCCATCTGCCACTCCCTCTCCCATCCCATTCACATCAAGATTTATTTTCAATTATCTTTATACACAGAAGATCCATTTAGTATATACTAAGTAAAGATTTCAACAGTTTGCACCCACACAGAAACACAAAGTATAAAGTACTGTTTGAGTACTAGTTATGCTGTTAATTCACATAGTGCAACACATTAAGGACAGAGATCCTACATGGGGAGTAGGTGCACAGTGACTCCTGTTGTTGATTTAACAATTGACACTCTTATTTATGGTGTCAGTAATCACCTGAGGCTCTTGTCATGAGCTGCCCAAGGCTATGGAAGCCTCTTGAGTTTGCCAACTCCAATCTTATTATAAGCATCCAATGTTATACAAGCAAAAGGACAAGATATTTACAGGCACAGGGCATAGTCTTAGGTAACTTAAGATCATGAAATTGTCCTCAGTATATTAAAAATGTGTAAAATGAGTAATTTTGCTTGTGAATATGACAATTTCAGTGATACCTAAAATATAAATATTAACTGAGAATCTGTAATTTTCCATGATTTTTATTCTAGATATTTTTTGATAATCCACTTCTTTTTGATAAGCTTATCAACCTCTGAGACTTGGGTTTGGCAGTTAGTATTTCACAAATTGGCTGTTTTCCTGGTATTCCAAATGGTGCCTTTTTCCCTCTTGAGGTTTCCTGCTGGGACTTCAGGCTTCATTGGCAAGACCTGAGAGTTAGAAAGCAGCCAATCAAGTGAAGTACACTCTAAGTTGATGGCAGACATTTCAGTAGAGCCAGAATGGATGGGCGGCTGTGAGTTGAAGGCTCTAATTCTTATCATTCCTCCCAGGTTCCTGGATTGGACTCCTTGAACTGCTGTTGATGTAAAACACTGTGCTAAGTCAGATGCATAGCTACCTTGGAATCGTTGACAGTTGAAAAACCTCTTCATGAGCCTCTAGGTGAGGGCTGGATTTCATTAAAATGCCATTTTTAGGGGTTCAGTAATGCCATTTTATCCAGCTTTTAATCATGATTTTCTGCAAAGACTTTTAAGGTTACTGTTTTTTTAAAACGTGAAATTCACACAACATTTCCATTTCATTCTGGCATTCTGACTTTTAAAAACGTGCCTTTTCATTATGCTTCAGATATGTAAGTGATGTGCTCTTGGATACCTTTTGCCCAAGGGGAGAGTGATAATGAAGACAAGCGTCAGTTGGAGCCCACACCCTTTGGGGCTCAAGCTCACTCCTTTCCGGGTAGAATACATCGCTCAGCAGAGGGGAGACTTACTTCCTGGACCTGACATCACTGTGCATGCTATTATACAGGATGGGGCAAATATAAGCTGCTTAGGCTACAAGAAGAGATAAATTGGGTCTGGTTAATGTTGTCCCTTTCCTATGGCTGCCTGAAACATTTCCTACAAGTGCTTTCCACACGGAGCTCTGTCTTTGACACAGCTGTGGCCCACAGTGTCTGCATGATTGACTTGGGCACTTCATCATGCACTGTAACAGTTCACTATTATTATTTTTTTTTTTTTTTTGACAGGCAGAGTGGACAGTGAGAGAGAGAGACAGAAAGAAAGGTATTCCTTTTCCATTGGTTCACCCCTCAATGGCGTGGCTGGCGCACTGTGCTGATCCGAAGCCAGGAGGCAGGTGCTTCTCCTGGTCTCCCATGTGAGTGCAGGGCCCAAGCACTTGGGCCATCCTCCACTGCACTCCCAGGCCACAGCAGAGAGCTGGACTGGAAGAGAAACAACCAGGACAGAATCCGGTGCCCCAACCGGGACTAGAACCTGGTGTGCTGGCACCGCAGGTGGAGGATTAGCCTAGTGAGCCGCGGCGCCTGCCCAGTTCACTATTTTTTTAAGTGTATATATCTTGTCCCTCTAGTTAAGCCTTCAGCCTTGGGAGGGAAATTTCAGCTTCTGCCCTCTACCTCTTCTTATCTTCTCTAGCTCCTAATAGAGTTTTCTGCGTAGTAGAATTGTATCAATCTTTATTTGATTAAGCTTAGTTTAGTCAGTTCATCATCTGTAAGAATACATGGGAGCAACACCATGGTGGAGATATTGCTAACCAGAGGATGCTAATAACTGGCCATGCCTATGAGATGTTGAATTCTCTCTCAAATTCCTGCCGCCTCTTTCTCCCTCACTTCCTTCTTCCTCTCACTGTTATTGCACACTGTGCTTCCTTTTTAAGGGTTTGTTTTATTTTTTATTTGAAAGGGAGAATTACAGAGAGAGAGGGTGAAACAGATCTTCCATCCGCAGCTTCACTTCTCCAAATGGCCACAACAGCTGGGTCTGGGTCAGGCCAAAGCCAGGGGCTTCATCTGGGTCTCCAATGTAGGTTCAGGGTCCCAAGGACTTGGACCATCTTCTGCTGCCTTCCCAGGTGCATTAGCAGGGACCTGGGTAGGAAGTGGAACAACCAGGGCTTGAAACGAGCTCCATATGGGATGCTGGCATTGCAGGCGGCAGCTTAACCTGTTAAGCCACATGCTGGTCCTTCGTTTTTTATCTTACTGGGTAACCCAGGCACACACTCAGGATCGGGAGGAAATACCTTCTTTTTCTTCTTTTCAGACAATCTCACAAGTGATGAAAAGTATTTTACATAACATTAGCAGATATTCAGGTTATATAAGGCAAATGAGATGCGTTTCAGATTGCCAGATAAGGAGAACTGCATCAGTGGAACATTGCTAATAATAATGGCATTTGTGACAAAAGTGTCAAAAGTGTAAAGTGTATCTGTAAGTCCTGAGGCATAAAAAGGGAAGGGCTTAATCTTGAAGTGAGGTTAAAAGAAAATTGATCTGTGGTTAGACAGGTAGAGGTAGGGAAGAGAGTGGTGAGGAGATCCAGAGGGAGCGCTTGCTCGCAACAATGGGAAAATTCAGTTAAATTCAATATGAGATCCTCCACTTGCAGAGCTCCTGGGGGAAAATATCTCAAGTAGCTGGAGCTGTTTTAGCTCTTGGAATATGCCCGGTAACACCAGATGCAAAAGGGCATGGGTAAATTTAATCATCTTTGTGTTAGTGTCTGAGTTAGGTCCAAGCTAATTACTATCATAAGTAAAACTCAAATATTGGTTCAAACTGCAAGGATTTTATTTCTTACTACGAGCACTGGGTGTTTGGCAAAAATGGGTACAGCAGCCTTTTTCTATGTAGCAATCCAGAGAGCTGGGTGATGGACCCTGCCTTGCTTAGTGTGGAGCTTCCAGGCTCTCCACATGGGTGCCGGGGTCATCTCTAGTCAAGCCAGCCCAAAGTGGATAAACACAGAGATAATACACGTCTGGTACTTTTAGGGGCAGGTTTAGCAGTGGCACAGATTTTCCATCGACATTTATTCTATTGCCTAGGACTCAGTAAGATGATCTCTATGTACTGCTAGAAACACAACTGGAGGATTCATGCGAGGAGATTGGGACAGGCACCTGCTCAGGTAAAGAAAAGGTGAGAAAATTCCTGTTTTTTCTTATATTTGGTATTCTCTACTTGTAAGTGTATGTGTTGGTGTGTGTGCAGTTATGTCCGGTTTTCTTATAAGAGTTTCTGGGCCTGAGGCACAGGGTCTATGGCATTCAATGATTTATAAAGATTGCTGTTTTACTTAAACTCAATTGTCTTTATTTTTTAAAAAGACTTGTCCCCAGAGTTTCATTAGCAAATATTCTTGTGTATGGTAGCCTCTTTTTTTTCTTTTAGATTTATTTATTTATTTGAAATGCAGAGTTAGAGAAGACTAGACAAAGACATTTTCCATCTGCTGGTGCACTCCCCAAATGGCCTCCATAGCCAGGGCTGAGCCAGGCCGAAGCCAGGAGCCAGGAGCTTCCTCTGGGTCTCTGACATAGTTGCAGGGACCCAAGCCCTTGGGCCATTCTCCACTGCTTTCCCAGGCACATTAACAGGGAGCTGGATCTGAAGTGGAGGATCTGGGACTTGAACTGCTGCCCATATGGGATGCAGGCGCTGCAGGCCAGGGCTTTAACACACTGTGCCACAGCACCAGCCCCTATGGTACCATCTTGTTAGTACAACTGACACTCACTGACTCTGATAATTTTTATAATTTATAAAATTAGAAAATCCTCATTGCAATTTATCAAAGTTGGGAATTTGGTATTTCAGTGAGCAGTTATAATTTATGCTGAATTAATCAAACTTTGCCATCATGAAGTAGCACCTTGGCAGTAGGGACTCCATTTTGGAGCACTTAAGACTCCATTCTGGGAAAGCACCCCCCCACCGTGAGACTCTGGTCTGAAACTATGATCTCAAATAGTCGGACAATAGCAGTGCACTACATCACCCTTGGCAGAGCACAGAAACCCCCTAGCATGATCGCTCAAGCTTGAAAGTAGAAAGGTTGCACCTGGGTTAATGATAAAGCTGTGATTTGTCTATGTCTTACATATAATTAAAACTAATAATTGGAGTAATGTCAAGATCATAATTGATAATTGTTAAGATTGTAACTGGGATTGTCAAGATTATAATGGATATTAATTTCATTTAGGTCTTAGGTTATCTTGACCCCAGTAACTATGTACTCTCTTTTGATCTTAGCAACCATGTATTCCCCCCTCTCGATTTTGCGGTTTTTGCCTTTATAAACCCTGTAGCTTTGGGCCTTGGGGTCGAGAGCTCTTTGGGGCATGAGCCCACTCTTGGCCGCCGGCAATAAAGGACTTTAAAACTTTTTCAGTGTGTGGCGCTCCTCTGTCAGCACTCGCTCGGCACAACAATCACATTGTCTATAAAATATAAAATCCTTCTAGAGCCTTTCTGAAACTTGACTGAAATTCTGACTTCATTTTGTGCTGGCATGGTTACCAAGAATTACTCACTGAAACATCTGTAGGCAGTGACATTCACATAATCTAATGATTTAGCCTGTGATGTTTGTATGCTTCCCTAATATTATAAGGGAACCACATTAAAATGATTTTGATTGAGGTCAGTTACAGATATTTGTGTAAATTGATTTGGGAACATGAGACATCAAAAATTTGATAGGAGCTCTGCTAAGGATATAGAAATAAAATGACATGCCACAGAGAAAGTGTTGCAAAATACTTGTTGACAGACAAATGAACACGTAGAATTTATTGCCCACTTTTGACCTAATTTATCATTAATGACCTGAATAAGGAATCACTCATTTAAACATCAGAACATTAAGAACTTTGTCCCTGAGTAGTACAGGTATGACTGTCAAATTTATTGAGCAGGACACCCATGGTAGACTGTGATTACTGTAGATTAATTGTTAGCAGGCAATTCTGGATCAATGTAGTCAGAAAACAGATATTTTCTTTTTAATTCTAATTTAAATTTTAAATTTTGAATGAAAATGGAAGAGTTGCACATACTACTCTGTGTCATACAACATTTCAGGATATTCATGTGTCCTGTGCCCATATCCAGGCACATTTCTATCCATACTTCCATACATGTTTTTGTGGATTAATACGTTAACCAGAGTAAGCACCAGATTTTCCATTTCCTTGTCTTTCCTTCGTGGTTGGAGCCTTATGATTTCTCTGTTCTAGTTCTTTACACAGAATATATTGTATCATGGTGAGGCACAGTCACCCCTGTGTGCTGTAAAACACAAAAATACATTGCATCCATCCTAAGGTGTTTTGGTACTCATTACCCAGTCTCCTTCCTCTCCTCTTCCTCTAGTAATAACTATTTTATATCTGGATCAAGCATGTATATATTTTTTAATTTCCACATTAGAACATGTGGCATAAGTTATTTATATATTCTGGATATTAATCTTTTGTCAGATGAATATGTTGCTAATATTTTCTCACCTTCTGTTCATTATCTCTTGATAAACCTATGCAGGAGCTCCTTTATTTAATTCTATTTGTCTTTTGTTTTGTTTTGTTTTTGTTGCTTGTGCATTTGGGGGCTTAGCCAAAAACTTACTGACTATGCCAGTGACTTTGTTTCCTTGTAATAATTTCGTAGTTTTGGTTGTACTTTTAGATATTTGAATGATTTCTAATTGACTTTTTTAGTGGAGAGAGATCTGTCAAACTTCAGTCTTTTGCACATAGATGTGTGGTTTGCCCAGCACCATTTATTGAAGAGACAGCCTCTCCTCTAGGGTATGTTTTTAGCTCCTTTGTCAAAGGCAGGTTGGCCACAGCTGTGAGTATTCATTTCTGGTTTTGTCCATTGATTTGTGTGACTGTTTTTGTGCCAGTATCATTGTGTTTTGGTTATCATTGCTTTGCAGTATGTCTGAAATCTGGTATTATGGTGCCTCCAGCTGTGTTCTTTTTGTCAAGATTGCTTTCGCTGTTGGGTATCTTTGGTGTTTACATAAGAGTTTTAAGATCCTTTTCTCTGGCTCTGTGAAGAATGTCATTGATATTTTGATGGAGAGTACATTGAATCCTTAGATAGCTCTGGGTAATATTGACATGTTAACATTGTCCTAATTAATGAACATGTGAAGTCTTCAATTTTTTGTGTGTCTTGTTAAATTTCTCTCAAAAGTGTTTTGTAATTTTCATTGTAGAGGTCTTTCACATCCTTGGTTAAATATATTAAATTTATGTTAAATATATAAATTTGTTAAATTTATATAATTTATAATTTTGTAGCTATATTAATGGGAATGCTCTTACATTTTCCTTCTTAGCAAGTTGGTATATAAAAATGCTACTGGTTTTGTGCTCTGATTTTGTATCTTATGACCAACTGAATTCATTTATCAGTTCTAACCATCTCTTGATGGAGTCTTTATCTTTTTCTTAATTAATTATGGCCTTACTTTGCATGATATACAGGATTGCAAATTTCTGCTATGTCAAGCAGCCTAAATGACAGTGTAATAAAATGAGGTCTGAACTGGGAGACTCCAAGACTTACATCAGCTCTCCGAAGAAAGGCAGAATGGAATTTCACATTCTGCCTATTTCCCCTGTGACAGAGACGTGGCTTCCGTAATTTACGGTACTATCAACTCCTGACAATTTCTTTTCACAGATTATTTCTGGTGAACTGACAGTTAAGAAGCAGAAACTAATTGGAAGGAAATGGGCTATAATTTGGGAACTGTATTTTCGCCCTGATTCTGTCCCTGGTTAACCCTGAGTTTGGGTAATCCCAGGAAGGAAGGAAAGCGGTAGTCTCACATTTTGCTTAGTTTCTCCCTCTATCCCTGAATGACCTTGTCCTTAGGGGTGTTAGGTGCCAACATGGCAACTCATGAACTAGTAATAAGGCAAAGCGATTTTCATGGAAATAGAGGAAAATTTCATAAACAAAGTTACTCTCTCACTGAGGGTGTATCAGTTCATGAAACCACTGGACTGGGAGTTGGAAGGCATGTATTTAAACCCCGTATTTTTTGCCAGTTTTTTCTGGGAGACTTAAAGACAACCCTGACTTTTTTATGACAAAGCCAGCTGTGGTCAGTGCCCCTGGGCCTGCCTTATGGGCCCACACCATTAGCAGCAGGAAAACTATAGCTTAGGTGGGATTATCTGACCTATCATAAGGTATTTTAAAATACCCCAATTCTTGTCTAAACAACTTATTAGGCTTCATCATGCAATATCAAGGTGAAGTAGATAAGATCGTCCTTTTAGCCATTCATGGCTATCTTTGGGGTGATTTATTTTCCTATTTAAAATTCCTCAAATATACTGAACCAGTATTATACAAGGGCTGCTTGTGGTGATATCCATAGTCATACTCTCCATATTTAAATTTATACTTGAGGCTCTACAATGGACCATCTGCATCAAATTATCACATTAGCAGCTGCAGCAGCATAACAATTGCCTCTTATTTAGCAGTAAACATGTATCAGACTTAAGACTAATGATTTAGACAAATGTTTTCTCTTCCAACTAATTTATAGCTTATGGTCAGTGATATTATCCCCATTTCACAGGTAGAACTGTAGCGACTGGCAAGAGTTCAAGCTGAGAATACTATACACTATGAATAAGGCACCGAGTCCCAGAAAGGCCAGAACCAGGAGTACACAGTTAAGTAGGTGACGATTAGGATCAAAGTCCATCTGATTTGTCAAGAAACATGTTCTGTCATATCATATATCTTTCTTGCTATGCTTTGTTTCTCTGCCTCTTGTGAAATATAGGAAAAGGAAATAAAAGTTGTAAATAAAGAGCTTTGAACTATTATATTTTATGAATAAACATAATTCTGTCCCTAAGCCTATGTTTTTAGCAGGGTTATCTCAGATGTGTATTGCTTGCTTGCACTGGTTTTAAGCATGTGGCCAAAATGTTCCCTTAGACCTCAGCGTTGTCAATTAAGTGGTGTTGGTTACTCTTAGGATAGAGATAGCTAACAGCACTTTATTTCAGCAATCAATGTTACTGACGGAGTGAGAAATTATGTAATGGGTTTCAGTGGAAAGTGTTGCAAGGGATCTATTTTATCAACTTCTAAGCTCACATTTGGGCTGAGCAATACAAAGATAAAAGGCAGACAATGGCCAGGCAGCTTTACTTTCATTGCTTTCAGCTTGAAACAGGTTAGTGCCGACCCACTTAAAGGCTGTGCATGTGGCGGCTGCCTAAAGTACAAATATGTTCCATAAAGTGGCCCAGCAGGTTTGTGTTTTCCTCCCTCGATTGACTTTCACATCAAAGTGGCTCTGTTCTCAGCTGAACATAATGGGACTTCATCCTAACACCTTGCCAAGCTCTCATGGATGTTGGCATGGAAAAAATGTGAACGCTGCCTCATGAATCCTCTTCCCAGCCCTCGGAGTGAGTGGCAAGTGATGTCCCCACCACTTTCCAGTGGAGGAAACAAAGGTAAAGTAAATTGTTCACTTAGCATCCAAACCCCAGACTTCTAGACATTGCCACGTGGATATCCTGTTGGCTTGTCGAAGTCAACTTGCCACAGATTGAGCTCCTTCTCTACCCTTTTCCAAACCTCATCCTTGTTTCCAGGGACTGTGTCTTGCGAAGAGCACTACATATCTATGTCTTCCCAGGACAGGACATTCTGAAAAGTTTTTGATTCTTTTCACTGCACATTCAATCCGTTAATGATGTTTGCTTTCTTTCCTTCGGGATATTTCACCAATCCATCCTTAAGTCCATTCAGTCATTACATCCACCATCCAGATTAGTGAGAAAAAATTCTTTATTTAAATTTCCAATTATGCTTCTTCAATTTACTCTTTATTTTGTCTCATAATTGCTCTTCCTGAAATAGAGGTTTACAACTTCCTCTCTACTCAGAATGTTTTGATGGACTCACATGACCCAAACACACACACACACACACACACACACAACCCCGAGTTCATGGCAGGGAAATCTGTCAAGACAGGGCACATTCTCCTTCTGAGGACCCCCTGCCACCACCCCCCACTAGCTAGAGGGGCCAACTTCCCAACTCCCGGGTGCCTTTGCTCCCGTTTCAGCTTCAGTTCTTGCTGGAATGCCTGTATCTCAGCTCATTTGTCTAGCAAATTCTATTCATTCTTTAAGGTCCTGTTCTTCTGTTCCACTGGTTTTGTTTTCCATTTTGAGTCATTCATCTGCCTGCTCTGTTAATTAACCTCTCCCTCTTTTGGACTTTCATAGCAATTCATTACCATGCTCTACTCTGTTTGGAGTGAGTTATTATCATTTCCCAAAATAGCATGTAAGTTCCTTGAGCACAAAGTCTGTATTTTATTTATCTCTGAATTTTATTAGTGCTTAGCATGCTCTGGGTACCTAAGTAAAAAGCATTTTAATGACAATATTTAGGTAATAAAATAACTTTTTTAAAAACAAATGTTATCATATTTAATACTTAAAATAACCGGTAGGTGTTCTTATTCACCTCTAAATTACAGATGGAAAAAAGTGAGGTCTACAGAAGTCAAAGGAATTTTCTATAACCTATTTGATATTAGAGTGAGGATGTAAGCCCAGTATTCTCAACTGTAAGCCATGATTTTCAGTCCACTGTGCGAGATTGCACATAAACAGAAATAATGTTGGAAATTTGGCCTGATACATACTGATTTTGATGAAATAAGCTTTTTTGGCTACAAATTCATGTTATATGTTGTTCATAGTAAAGGATTGTTAATATCCAAAAGATTCTTCACTTTTTCTACACCTTATAGTAAGAAGACAAACTCTTTGAGATTATGTCATGTTCAAATTAGGAGCAACTATTGCACCAGTGTGTTCAATATAAGAATTATTGATTACATAATAGATCTAATTGAAGAAATTTTGATGTCCTTGGCCATTTTGTCTTCATATCACTAACAATGGCTAACCTTTTATGGAAAAAAGTGTGCACAGCTTGGTTGGTTCCTACGACCAGACTGTGACTGGAGGAGAGGCATGGAGACCTCCGGTTAAAGTCATGGACATCTCTACCAGGAGGTCCTGGAGCTGACCATCTTGCTTCACCCAGGCCTGCTATTTCACCATCTCATCAGAGCAAGCATCACTTGGCTTAGCTACAAGTCCAGTCCAGGCTGTTATCCTTAATTATTCACTCTGATTTGGCCTAGATTGATCAGGGAACAGACTGTTTACAGCCTTGTTTTCCAAATGCTTTGCCTTGTGAGCATAGGTAGTTGGAAGGACAGAAAGTTCAAACTCTAATTTCCTAGAGATGTTTAAAGATCACTCAAGCAAATAGATTCCATCAGGGTCTACCCTTCCTTTCTGACACGCATCCAACATCCCCTAAGTTCCCCTATGCTGTCTAGTCTTCTGTATTTCTCACTCAATCCTTTGTGTACCATGTGGTTCACTTCCCACTCCATTTACGACAACTCCATCGCTTTTTAATTTATATTCTATGATTTGCCTTTTGAATTATTACTGACACTGTGATACTTGTTGCTGATTATTTAAGCACCATTTGAAGTTCTTGAATGAATGTGGTAGATTAGTTGCAAAAATGAACTCAATTCTTTGATCAGCTTTTTTCTTAGCTCTTCTCATGTTTCTACCCCTTTTCAACCATCAAGGGGAGGTTTATTTCCCCATCCCTTGAACCTATGCCTAATTTCTGTTTTGCTTTGGCCAATGAAATGTAATGGAGTTGATAGAGTGTCATTTCTCAGTAAGGCCTTAAAGGGGGCATCTATGCTTATGTTCTCTCCTTGGAACCCATCCACCTTGTGACTAAGCCTGGGCTTCCTGATGGAGGATGAAGTCCATGTTGGGGAGGAGCTAGTTATTCCTGCTAAGACTGTCCAAGGCTGTTGTATATTGGCTGACCTCTAAACATGCAAAAAAGCAGGCAGTTGCATCCCCAGTTGATTGAATATGCAAGGGTGAGACCAACAGAAGCACCCAGGTGTCAAACAGACTCAAACAATGATAAAATTCTTACTGTTTTGAGCCAACTTGAATTTAGGTGGTTTGTCTCAAAGCAATAACTGACTCACACAATGCATTACTTCATTAAAGCCTCTTTATATAGTGGTGTCAGTATTAATATCCATATTTAATGGATGAAGAACCTTAAGGTTAGCAAGATCAAGGTACTTGTTCAACTTCTCACAGTGAATGAAAAGGCCAGGATTTGAGCTAGTCTTAACTACAGAGTTTGCATGATTAAACAGTATGTTATATGGTTCTCTTTCTGGAACATATAATTTGCAACCATATTCCTAGAGTCATTAAATCTATTGGAGAAATAATTTAGCTCATGTCCTGTGATTTCTACCTACGGAGATGTAGACCCAGAGTTGACTTGTTTGTCCAAGATCACAAAGTCAAACAGTAGTCCTAGGTTTTTGATCACTTCATCTGCCCTAATTTATTCCACATTGTTAAGAACATTCCCCTTCTTACCAAGTGATGAAGGTTCTTGATGTTTAATGCTCTCTCTGTTTTCTTTAGTGCCTAGTAAAGTGCTGAATACTGGGAGTGTTTAGCCCATATTTATTAATTGGCTGCTTGCTGGCATCTGTTTCTGACATTGGAAATGTCTGGACAGCAGACAGAGTGGCCCCAGCAGCAGTAATGGGATAGGAAGAGGCAGCCAGCTGGAAGTCTGTGCCAGTACGGGAACTGTCTGCTCAGGCCTAGACCCACATGGAAATTCTCATCCTTTGCAATTACTGTGTTTTCTAAGAGGCATCGTATTTGCTGTTCACCAAATTGTCAGGGCTGGATTTTGTTGCTGTACAAGATAAAGGGAAAAAAAAAAACACCCTCACATTTGGGAGAATGAAATTATTCCTACTCGGAGGGAAGCCCTAAGTTTCAGATTTTGCTTTCACACAACTTGTGGTAAGATTGTCCTTCAAACACTGGAATGAATGTAAGCAAAAACTGATTTGAGCAAGTCTAAGTAGCATCAAATTCGACCTGGAGCCTTAAACTTGCGCTCTTCTGGTCTGCCCTCTGTATAAGCCAAGAAATTCAGCTTTGTGATAGATTTAATTAAACTGCTAACATTGGTGGGGGGCACATTCTGGGGAAAGGAGTTTTTTTTTAATGATTTATTTATTTTATTTGAAAGGCAGAGTTGCAGAGAGGCTGAAGCAGAGAGAGAAGGGGGAGAGAGGTCTAATATCTGCTGGTCCACTCCCCAGATGACCACAATGGTTGGAGCTGCTTCAATCTGAAGCCAGGAGCCAGAAGTCTCTTCTAGCTCTCCCACATGGGTGCAGGGGCCCAAGGACTTGGGCCATCTTCCACTGCTTTCCCAAGCCATAGCAGAGAGCTGGATCAGAAGTGGAGCAGCCGGGGCTTGAACCTCACCCCCTGTGCCACAGCGGCAACCCCTGAACTGAGTTTTAAATGTGCATTTCTTGGGGCCGGTGCTGTAGCACAGTAGGCTAAGCCTCCATCTGTGGAGCTGGCATCACATATGGGTGCCTGTTCATGTCCTGGCTGCTCTACTTCCGATCCAGCTCTCTGCTGTGGCCTGGGAAAGCAGTAGAAGATGGCCCAAGTCCTTGGGCCCCTGCACCTGCATGGAAGACCCAGAGGAACCTCCTGGCTTCAGATTGGCTCAGCTCCAGCCATTGCGGCCATTGGGGGAGTGAACCAGAGGGTGGAAGACCTTTCTGTCTCTCCTTCTTGATGTCTGTAACTCTACCTCTCAAATAAATAAAATAAAATCTTTAAAAATAAGCATTTCTTTCCTGTTACCTTTTCCAAGAGAATATAGCAAAGCCAGAATAGGGTCTTTCTATTGTACAACACATCTTCTCTGAAATCTCACAGAAGGTTCTCTAATCACTCCATAGTGCAACTGAAAGTTTTTGTAACACTTGAAAAAAAAAAAAAACAACCTTCTTCATACTTGCCTCTTTCTCTTGGCCTGTGCTTATTTGCTCCCACTTAATATAGGTGACTCATTGCTACTTTGATAGATTAGAAATTGGGTTTAGCATGTGATAAAATGAAAGCAGTGCTAGGTTTCAATTTAGACCAAGGAAATGAAATTTTTTTTATTTCTAATATGTAGTAGCCTAAAATTCCCATTCCCTTGAAAAAGATGCAGGATTTTTATCATTCAAGTTTCAAACATCCAAATTTTAGTATTTCATGTTGTTTTAGAAGAAATGACTGGACTAAACAATGAAGATGGGAGGTGAGTGATTTAACTCCTGGTGCTATGTTTTCTATAGACTCTGCTTTCTTAAAAGCACTGTGTGTACTTTGAGAGGACAGGCTATTTCTCAGCCTTTTATTGTCTTGCTTACTGAAATCAGACTGAGGCTCTGATAAGAGATCACATCCTGGCTAGTATCAAGTAGTGTCTCAACCTTGTTAAAATTCTCCTACTCATTAAAGAACAAAACGATTGAAATGTGGTTCCACTGACACTGCCTTGGGTTAACACGTAGGCAGTGCTTTTGTCGTAGTCAGGATATACTTTAGATGTACCGCGGGTTCTGCAGTACACTGGTGGGTTACACAGTGTGAGTGCGCCGTGTAGTTGTCTGTCTATGGATGGAAGGTGTTTGGGAGAAGAGGTAGAGAAGAAAGGGCCTTTTGTTCTGAGCCTCTCTCCAAAACTCCTTCGTGGACTGAGTATTCCTCAAGTGGTGGCCAGTGGACTGCAACTCTGGTGTTGGCATCTTAGTGCTGTCCTTCCCTGCAACTTGGTTCACTTTTGGCTTCTCAGCTGTTAGGAAAAGGAATTGTTCTTCTAAGGCGTCATACCCAGAAAATGACACAGTAAAAAACCTGTTGGGTACAAGTAGTTGTAATACTACTATGAATAAAAAAAAACAATTAGTCAACCCACTGATCACTTGAAATTCATCAAAATGTTCTCAGCATTAAATGTAAAGTTTTATAATCTCAGAGGAATCAGAACATAAATATTCTGTATGTATCAGAGGAATCTGCTCACTTACCACTGGAAAGCCTGCTGCATCCACTTCACATGGAGACTGGCAGGTGTCAATTCTCTCTGGGTCTCAGTAGGGCAGCTTGCTGCCCTCCACTGGAGAAGGAGGAAGAGAGCCTTTGAGACAGTGCCTCTTTAACTGATTTTCAGAAGGTTCATCTCATTAGTTTGTTGTATTCTGTTGGTTAGAAATGAACCAACATTCAAAGGGGGCAAATTAAACAAGTGGGCCACCATAGAGGTTCCTCACTGCAAACTGTAGAACTTATAAAACAAATTCAGAAGCTAGTGGAAATTTCTTTAAAATTGTCATTTTAAAACTTTTAGTAAAGATTTATTTATTATTTATGTGAAAGTGTTACAGAGAGAGAGAGAGAGAGAGAGAGATCGATTGATCTTCCCATCTGCTGGTTCACTCCCAAGATGGCTACAATGGCTGGATCTGGGCTGATCCCAAGTCAGGAGCCAGGAGCTTCATCTGGGTCTCCCATGTGGGTGCAGCGGCCCAAGGACTTGGACCATTTTCTGTACCTTCCCAGGTTATTAGCGCAGAGCTGGATGGGAAGTGGAGCAGCCAGGACTCAAACCAGCGCCCATATGGCTTTACTCACTACACTACAGCAGTGGTTTTACTCACTACACCAAAGCACTGGCTCCTAAAATTTGTCTTTTATATGCTCTTTAAAATGTACTATTGACAGGTTAGTGTTTTTCACTTATATAGTACTTATTATAGTACTTTTCTCTATTTTAGGGTGTCTAGTTTTAATTAATCAGAATAGGGGGTAAAGCAAAATTTATCATTACACAGACATTAAGCTCATTTAATTTAAAATGTAAAGTATTTATAGCATGAATTAACTAAACAATTACTCAGAATATAAAAAAGGTGAATATCTACCCTTTTAGCTTTATCAAACAAATATAATTATAGTATAAAGTCTTAACAAAAATAATGGCAAAATAAAACTGCAAATCAGTTTCAGATACACATACAGTAAAACTTTTAAGATTTATTTTTTATTTGAAAGACAGAGTTAGAGACAGATCAATCAATCTATCGATCAGTCAATCTTTTTTTTGCTAGTTCACTCTTCAAATGGCCACAGTGGCCAGTGCTGGGCGAGGCTGAAGCCAGTAGTCTAGAACTCCAACTGTGTGGCAGGGTCGCAGGTACTTGGACTGTCTTCTGCTGCTTTCCCAGAAGTGTTACTAGGAAGCTGGATTAGAAGTGGAGCAGTAGGGACACAAAGCGGTGTGCATATGGGATGCCAGTGTGGCAGGTGACAACTTAACTTGCTACATAAAACGCCTGTCCCCAGAAAAATTCTATGAGTGTGAGTAGAATACTAGAAAGTATTGAAAGAATAATACATGAATTATTCCAGGAATAAATTTGTGGTTTAACAAAACCAAAAATGATTCATTACATTAATAACTTTAAAAAGAAAACCTAATTTACTTAAATATTTGAAGAAAGGAGATGTGATAAACTTTAGGAAAGATTTTTGGTTTAAATTTAAACTTAGATTAAATAACAATAAGGGAAAATAAATAAAATGGTTTAATATTTTTTTCACAACACTGAAAATAAACTGTATTTAAAAGACACAATACTGGCCGGCTCCATGGCTCACTAGGCTAATCCTCCGCCTGCGGCGTTGGCACACCGGGTTCTAGTCCTGGTCAGGGCGCTGGATTCTGTCCCAGTTGCCCCTCTTCCAGGCCAGCTCTCTGCTGTGGCCCGGGAGTGCAGGGGAGGAATGGCCCAAGGTGCTTGGGGCCCTGCACCCGCATGGAGAAGAACCAAGGAGGGAAGCACCTGCCTCTGTCTCTCTCTCTCACTTGTCCACTCTGCCTTGTCCAAAAAAAAAAAAAAAAAGACACAATACTAATTTCCACTAAATCAGTAATAGTACAATACTTTTACCATGAATGTTGTTTTGAAATAATAATCATTGCAGTCAGTTCTCACACAAGTTCATGTATCATGCTGAAAGGCATGATTAGTAGCGCCTTAGAAACACGTGGACATTGAGATGGATGATTGTGTGCAGCCTTGTCGCTTCTGCTGGGGAACAGTGTTTTCTTCATAACATGCGTTAACTCTTTTACTTGGTGTGGGGATAGCTTTAAGCTTGTTAAGTAAACTGAAAGTAGATCTTTGTAAGAAGTAAGAGTAGGAATGGGAGAGAGAGGAGGAAGAAAGGTTGGAGCGTGGGTGGGAGAGACAGAAGAGTGGGAAGTATCCCTGTGTCCCTAAATCTGTGTATCTGAAATACATGGAACTTGTATGACTCAAATGCAATTAAAAAAAGAAACACTTGACACTCGTAAATTATTGTAATTAATAATAGATCAATGATGGTAACTGGATATAAGACAAATACATAACGCTCCATTTCCTTTAAAACTGCAAAATAATAGTCAAGGAGGAAAAATACATTAGGAATAATGTAAAAAACAAGGCAACATTTCTATATGAAATATATTATGAAATGTCACTCAAGAACAGAAAACATGAAATTGAATGAAGCCATTTTATAAAATCGTCAGTGTTTCCAAACTTACATACAATTTAGTGCAATTACAATCAAAATAAAATTAGAGTTAACTTTTGGAATGAATTAAAACTGTTTTACAATTTTAAGTTGGATAACAAATAGACAAGACAAGAACAACTTATAAACAGAATGGCCAATTTGGATTTGCTTTACAGAATGTTGACATACATGGTGAAGCCACTGTACTAAAATAGTATAATTTTGTATAATAAGACTGGAATAATAGGTTGTTGGAGAGGAAAAAAGAGTTTGGAAACAGACTAGAGAATATTTGGGAGCTTAACATAAGATAATGGTTTTCTCTTCCTACAGTAGAAATTTATTTAATAGTTGGTTGTAACATCCTTGGATATCCATTCAGAAGAAAAGACATTTGAATTTTTATTGCAGATCATTTATAAAAACATATTCGAGGCAGATCAAATATTAAAAAAATCTGAAACAATGGAAATAGAAGACAATTGAAGAGTATATTTTTCTAACTTTCTGATTGGAAAAACTCAAAAGCCATAAAGCAGAGGTGAAAAAATTTCACAATATAAGCATGAGAATAATTAAATAAGTTCATGGAAATTCTTTTATAAATATTATGCATGAATTTTGTTTTTTTGCATTAAAAGAAAATTATCTTTGAATTTTCTTTAGGGCTGATTCAGAGGCCAGAGTGCTGTTTAGGACATCCGCCATTCTACGAGTCTGCTGAGTATCTCACTTCCCATGTTGGATCACTCTCCCCTTTATTTATTCCATCGGTTAGTATTAGCAGGTACTAGACTTGTTTATGTGCTCCCTTTGACTCTTAGTCCTTTCATTATGATCAATTGTGAACTGAAATTGACCACTT